TATTCGACTTGCCGAGCAGCCATGACGTATCCCTGGCCGTATTCACTACCACCACATCTACAGCAGCAACCACATCTACAGCAGCATCCGCAACAGCATCCACTTCACGCGACACAGCCAATACAATCCCATGTCCACACACATCCCACACTGCCACCTCAACCTCAACCTCATCAACCACATCAACCACATCCACCGCATACGACAAACCAATCACCACCCACACCATTACTGCAACCACCACCTCCAACAACTGCTCCACCACATGCCACCAATCCAGCAGTGACCGCCATACCACAGCCTACCACACCGGCTCCACCACCACCACCACACACTCCAGCAGCCCCGCAGCACATTGCCATTTCCGCTTCAGCTCACCATACTCCACCACAACCACTACCGCAACCACAAGTGCCACAACTCACACCTCAGCCAACTGCACCACCAACTGCACCTCAGCGGGGAGTCACAGACTACGCCTTTCAGGCTTACAGTCACGCCACCACACTTTACGAAGATACACGTTCCCACAGCACCCAGCACCAGCCACAGCACAGCAGTTGATGCAGCTCTATGTGACAAAAAGAGGTCATTCCAAAGAACATTGCGCCGCAGCGCTGCGGCCACAAGGAAAAGGACCATGCGCCGGCAGACTCGCAGTCCTTCACTTTACATTTTACAATTTACAATTTACAAGACCTTTCCGACGTCCTGCCCTACCACTATTTTATTTATTACACAGGTTTTTTCTGATCCGGTCTATTTGCGCCGATTCGGCTCATTGTGTGTGTCCACTCCTGTTTCCAAGGACACTACCCTAACTCTTTCTAACCTACCCTATGACTTTTGTGACCAATGTGCAGCAGCAGGGGGCCACTCCACCCACCACCAGGGAGTGGCCAACGAAGAGCCTGGTGGTGTGGTGCTGAAAACGTACCTGCCATTTTAGAATTGTTTCAATCGTTTCACTTGCATTCTTGTTCAACAATACTGTTACTCGGACCCAGCATTTTTTCAGTCAAGGTCTAACCTGCAGTAATCTTAAAGGGCTAATGCTCACCGCGAAGCAGCCTGAAATCGCGCTCCACGGAGCAACCTACTCAAGTGTGTGTGTGTCCACCCCTGGACAAAGGGTTTTCCACCGCTACTCCTTC